CGTGGATGTTTGTTTGAGTCACCATAATATATAAGTACATCAAAATGAAAGTTTGTTAAATTGTTTTAAATTGGTTTTGCTTTGTTTCCATATTAGTGTAAAACTCTATGCGTATCGATGCATTGATATACGCCCACCGATGCATCTTCAAATATCGATGTATTTTTGCCACTAACATCCCTAATTGGTAGTGCGTATAAGAGGGATGTAGTAGATTGTAGGGAATCCATTAAGCTCAGATAGTTCCGTGCCAAATTTCTGGCAAATATTTAGAGCCATCTGAAAAAGTTTTTTCTAAAAGCGGTCGCCCCTCGGCAGGCAACGGTAAAATTCCGAGTGTATTAAGCCATGAAAAACAGCTTCTCATAAAAATTCAATCGCCGTTGGGAGTCAGTGTAAAACTGTAGCTCCCTCCTCTTTGTGTTACAACATCAAGGCTCATACCACAAATCGGAGGAGAAGCTTGGCAAAAAACTAACATATTGTATAAGCGCTAATCAATTATTATTGTTATTAGAAGCGCCTGAAGAAATTTGCCTTCGTGATATCAGTAGAGAAGCCAACCGTTGGACCTTGCCTATTTTCTTCACGCTTATCTTTTTCTTGAGAGCATCCCTTCATACTACTACTCCGTAGCAAAGAATTATTATTATCACCGCCAAGCCAAGTCCTTCTCCACGTGGTCTTTCCACGCAGTGGGGGCCTCCCTCTTCCTCTGCTACCACCAGCGGGTTCCGAGTAGAATACTTTTTGAGCTGCAACGTCGGAGTCCATTCGAACGATGTGGCCCAGCCGGCGGAGCCGTGGTACTATGTCAATATAATTATAAAGCTCATACAGCTCATCATTTCATCGTCTGCGGTACTCGCCCTCACCAACGCGTAAAGGCCCAAGAGTCGCCTCATCGGATGTTGTCATTGTCCATGCTTCTGCCCCATATACCAACACGGGCATTATTAGTGACTTCCCAGCAAGAACAGTGACGGTCACTTTCCTAATAACATGACCGTCACGCGTGCCCATTAAGTTCGGCACGTTTTGCTATCACATTCTTAATAGTGAATCAAAAATGCTCCCAGAAGTTTTATGTAAGTGTGATTTTTCAAACCAAATAGTTTGCCTGTTTGCTCATATGTGAAAAGATTAGCTTGACTACTTACTCATATGCGAAAGATACCTCGCAATAAAAAACAATAGATGGCACTCCAATCAAAAATTATATGTGTGTTAGTAACAGCATAAAATTTGCGTTTGTGTTGGAGTTTCGGTCACGCTGGTTTTGCTGGGTTATAGAGTGTGGTTTTCGTACTTGAATTGCCTACTCAGTTCAAAGTAGCACTTGTTGGCAAGAGTTATTCTGCGTTGGATTTCCATGCTGATATTATTGTCGGTGTTAATGCTATTTCCCAAGTAACCGAAATTCTCTAGTTTCTCGAAATTATTATTGCCAACAGTGACGTAGATGCCAAGGATCGATTGTGCTGACTGTTTGTTTGATGACAGGGGATACTTTGTCTTGTCTTCGTAGGGTTGAAAAGTGTTCCCTTCATAATTAAAATACGTTCTGGACATAGCTAACTAGGTCGCCATTGTTGTTCTTACAGGAGTTCGCCCTGGTCTTGAAACCCTCCGTAAGTCGCCGCACTCACGTATTTCGCCATCTCTCTTCTTATTGCTACAAATACCTCTTACTTCTCTCGTCAGTTCCTTATGGCGGTCCCACATAGTACGCGTTGCGCCCGCTCGCAGCGTGGCCCTGTAGGCGGTATGCGAACACTTCTCATCGTACCAGTGGTTCTTTCTGGCTCACTGAAATCTGAATACTTCTGGCCAGAATTAAGCTTAGATATTAACCCTTTTAAGTCCACAATTATGTTACACCAGGATATATTTCATGGAGGGGGACAAGTGTCGTCCATGAAAAAAAGTAGCAGTTGGGATGTTTTGGAATTTACTCCCAGTTAAGTTTGCTGAACCAAAGCGAGATATTATTAAGTAGTGCGGCGAGGCTACTATTCTGCCATCTCTTGCTATCTCTTTTAACAAGCTGTAAGTCGAGAGTAGAGGTGATAGCAAAACGTTGGGTTTGGTATGCGAAGAGTTAACCTCTTTGGAGTTAATTACAACTATTATCATCTTTTGTTATATAGGCGGGGCTGATATCAGCTCGATAAATTATTTTCAAATTTGACATCATAAGGTCTAATGCTTTCTTAACCCTGGAAGGTCATCGTTATTTTTATAACGCAAAGGTCATCCTTCGTCGATTCGACGACGGCATTTCTAAAAGGCATTATTAAATTAACTTGTGTATCACAATGCTCAAAAATTATTATTTTCACATTATTTTGTTTATATTTTTTCTAAATAAAACAATATCAAGTATTTTTTCTTTAGTCTTTTGATTGTTATTCAAGATTTCACAGCTCTGATTCATTTGGCACAAAACATTAATTAGAAAATATAAAAAATAAATAACTTAAAGTACATATAATTCATTTAAAGTATTTTTTTCTTAAAACTAAAAAAGGAAAAAATTTTCAGATAAGACAGTTCTCATTATGTGCAAGAGGCGCAAAGCTTTATTTTATGCTCTCCACAGAGACTTTTTTGGCATTTTGCACAGGATGATTTGTTAAGCGTCGCTTAGAAGGGGGCCAAATTGCGCAATTTTTTTTTTCGTCGATATAACTTTTGGTTGCATTCATCGTGTGTTATAACTGCACAAGTAAAATATATAAACAAATAAAAAAAAACTTAAGAAAATGACATTGAAAACATGAACGTAAAACATACACAAAGTTCATCCTTCGTCGTTTCGACTACGCACATTTAAAAAATAAGTACTTACACGAAGCGCATGAATCAAAGTAACCGCACACATCAACAGCACAACACCGTCTAGCGCTGTACGAAAAATTAGCACTATTTATACAAACAAAGGAAAACAGCGATAACGGTAAAATAAAAACTCGCGTCGTCGAAACGACGAACCATGACCTTCCTGGGTTAAGGTCGATAGGGAGGATGCCATCGACCTCAGGTAACTTCTAGGGGTAAAAGCTGCAAATAGTTTCCTGAATGCTGCCATCAGAAGTAGTACCAAGTGCCGTTTCCTTTAAGCTGGTAGCTAGGTATGCTTAGGTTTTTCCAAAGCATTTTGGTGCTGAGCTGCTTTCTATCACTTGACAGAATGTTTCCCACGGGGAAAGTTTTGCAGAAATAACTGGAAATTTAAATCTGCGTTGGCTGCTTTAACATTTGGTACATTTATTTTAGAATTTCATCCCTAATTCCTTGCGAGGGTTTATTATTTCGTGTGATCAGCATGGTGGTGCTTTTTCACCTTCATTTTAGTACATGCTGCTGTCGCTGCTTTTCGAGTGCTGAGTATTGCAATTGCGAGTTCGCAAGATCGTCGGAGGAAAATATCTGATGAGGCAGCGCTTAAACACCTCCCAGTTTTTTCGCCTGCGGCTTATGAACGCTCCAGGCAAACTTATGTAAATATTACACATATTTAAAATAAACGCACACGTGATTGGAGAAAGGCCTTGCTTATTAACGATTTTTTTGGAAAGTTAAAAAAGTAAGATTGTCCTCAACATTGCATACTCTAAAATTTTAGCTAAACAAAAACTCAGAAGTCATTCATCTTGATCGTTTGTGTTTGAGCTGCCCCAAATGTGATCATGTGCATTCCCATCAGAACTAATGAACGCAAATTCAAATAAGGTGGTAGCGGCAGCACAAGTACGAAAAAAAACTACTCTAACAAATTATACGCACAATGGCAATAAGAATACGACAAGTGTACAACAAACACCACTTTTTCTGAATTTGTCTTTGATTCAATGATCAAAGGAACGTCAAAAGTTTTCGCCTCGATTGCCGCCTTTGATATCAGTGCTGGCTGAGGTAGCATGTCATGGACCGTGCAGCTTTGGAAAATACAAGTTTTACCTTTATCTGTTGTGTCTATCACTTGGTAGCCTTTGCTTTACAAACCGCAAACATGATCTGAGATTCTGCCCAGGCCATGGAGCTGCCTTGCTTTTCTGTCATATCTTCCTGCCTGATATCTTTCAACCTCCCTTCCAGAGGCTCGTATCGCTTTGAAAGAGGGGATTGGCGTTCAGCTAGAGGGGTGGACACCAAGACCTACCGCTGTGGCCATATGACTCGATTCCACCAACATCGAAGCTGACGAGTGGCAATCCAAGCAGTCATATCAAGTTATCCTTTTTGTTTATAGTAAGCTAAATCCCTAGTGCGTAGGTTTAGGTCACCATTTAAGCCCCATCCCACGACAAGGAGACGAACATGATGCAGTTGTTGGTTGGTTGTTAGAAAGGTCGCCTGGGTACATTCCCAGGACCCACCCAATTAGTGCTGAAAGCATCTTTTTGATACGCTTTCTCTGGGACCCCTGATTTTATCTGCTTTCATAATTCGTTGGGTTCGTCAAACCATTTGGATTTTCCGATGAATCTATTTAGGTTAGTAATGGTAAATTTAGAAATTTTTTGGTCATGAGCTCTCCGTCTAATACTTACATACTCTGTTCCGGTTGACATGGCACATTCCATATAAGTATGTAAATTTAAAAAGTATTTGGTTTCTCCTGTAAATTTCCAAATTTGTCAAATAGGGTGTTTTGCATTGATGGTGACACTATAATAAACTTGCGTTCACAATATATATCTCTGTATATATATATATATATACACAGATATATATATATATGTATTTGTCTTACCAAAACCAAGTGATTCAAGTAAATACAGTTAAAGGCTAAAAGAGGTAATACAATATATCGACTATAGGCCCAGTTTAGTGACTATGTTTGATCCATGAATGTCAGACATTAAGTATAATAAGTTAATAAATCTGCCAAGGTATTTCATTTAAACTTTTTAATTCTATGTTTATTCCATCGTCCTCATCTGCACACTTGTGTGTGTGTGCATATAAATCTGTGTATATTAAAAAAATTTTAGGTTACTAAGATGCACGGTGGATCCGTGGAACACTTCGGTGTTCGGTATGAGGCAGGTGACGTTATTGGTTGTTTTATCGATGTCATGGAGCGAACCATCAGTAAGGATTAAAAGCAAGATGTTAATAATATCTATATAAGTGTTTATTATTCGCTGGTTTGTTCATTAATTACATTTATTACAACATTCAACTGAACTTTAATACAACACATACATATAAAATAATGAAACCATCTTACGGTCATATATTTAAAATAACTAGCGATCATAAGATACATATAAGATGCATACGTATAAGCAGATATAAAAGTAAAACAAAAGACATGTGTATTTCGATTATTGTTTTGTTTAAGAGCTTTTTCTGTGCATATTTGCTTAACCAAGTATTTCTGTTCAACTACTTTTAATAAATTAGGAGGAAAAAGTTTCCGGTGGCACCTGTGAATCTTTTGGTAAACAATGCGGGCCTGGTGATATTGTCGGCGTGTTCTTAGATCTCGCCGATCATACAATCAGTAAGAAATAAAATTGTTTGTCCGTGCCCTACTTTTGGTATTTACTAAAAACTTTTTTTATTTTATATAATATATTCCTTTTGACAATCCTTTACATAACTGTATAATTATACAGGCATTCCATTTTGTTCATACACCGTAATCTAGGGAATGAGATATTTAAAAATTGGCAAAGAAACCCTGGCTTTTTATCAGCGACCGGAACTCCTTGCTGCCCTTGCTTTACAAACACAATACACACTTTTGTACTATAATGCAAACATAATTGTGTTTATACAAATAATATCGAATTTTTGAGTTACATAGCTCAGCTTTAAATAATCGAAGTTAACAGAAAAAGATTTTAAAATAAGAATACAGAGATCCTTAGTCGGTTTGTATACTTAAACCAACTTCCTTTCATTATTCGAGCTTTATAATTTAATTTATTTATAAATTTAAAAAGTTTTAAAGGTAACCAACTATCCTTTAGTTCCGTGCGCAAAAGTGGAAGGCTTTTGACTGCCATCCACCTGGGAGTGGCCAAAAGTGATTCTTGTGCGTCCGGTTCAAATCCAACTCACAACGTCCGGATATTTACATCCACGTATTCGCGTGCGCTGGGTTGGGGCCCCGCCACGTTAAAACCCCGCCTAATGAAAAAGTTCAGAAAGCCTCGGATGATAAACGACTATGATTTGAGGGTATCATAATAGATTGGCGCTTAATCATATGTTAGAGTTTGGCCGAGCTTCTCCTCCGATTTTTGGCGTGCGCCTTGATGTTGTGACACAGGGGGGACGGACCTACAGTTTTACGCCGACTCCGAACGGCGATTGTATTTTTATGAGAAGCTGTTTTTAATGGCAGAAATACACTCGGAGGTTTGCCATTGCCTGCCGAGGAGCGACCGCTGGTAAGAAAAAACTGTTTTCTTAATTTTTTTTTGCGATGTTGCTTTGGCCAGCGCTTGAACCCAGGCCCTGCAGAGTGGAAGCGCGCACTGCTTACCACTACACCATATCAGCCAATATTTGAGGGTATGCACCTTGAATATCCGGATTCTTAATGGGGAAGGTGCCTCTGCACGGCTGGTTGATGTCCTCGGGAAGACAAAAGCTGACCACCGCCATCCAAGAAATGCGATAGACGGAGCCAGGCAAGGTAAGCGTGAAGCCCTACGGGGTCTGCTACAGCTGCCACGTAAAAGAAGGCAAATTCGATGTTGGATTCGTCGTAGGAAAGAGACCCCGTCACCGAGTACTAGCGTTCAACCCGGTGGACGAACGTCTAGCCACAATCCGCATCAAAACGAGATTCTTCAACATCTCGCTCATCTGGGCCCATGCTCCGACGGAAAAGGAGGGCGAGACGTCCAAGGACGAGACGTCCAAGGATCTCTTCTATGAGCCCCTGACACGTGCTCGGCCCAAATATGCAAGGAAAGCTGCAATCACAACGGACCTCCAATTTATTCGCCACTCGACTCACACACCTGCTCTCTGAGAGCTCTCTTCACCAATCAAAAATACGCGAGAAGTGGGACCACATTTCCCCATCAATAAGTACCGCCGCCGAAGAAGTAGTAGGATTTCATCGAGCCTGAAAGAACAATTGGTATAAGAAGGAAGGTTAAAAAAGCGCAGAGAAAAAAGACGCCGCCTATTGGACTACGCTGCGATCGGGCGCAACGCGAGCCATGTGGGACCGTTATAGGGAACTAAAGAAAGAAGCGAGACGTATTTGCCGCAACAAGATAAGAGAGACGCCGAAATACCTGAGTACGAAGAGATTGAGATGCCGACAGGAAAAACGCCCGAAAATTGTATCAGAGAGTTAGGCGACTTGCGGAAGGTTTCAAGGCCAGGGCGAACTCCTGTACGAACAACCATGGACACTTAGAGACTAATAACCAGAACGTACTTAAATTATGGAGGGAACACTTTTCCACACTATTGAATGGTGGAAGCACTGGAAGTAGTGGAGAAGACGAACCAGAGCCCCCAGCCCCAGAGCTGATGGCCTGTCAGCCGAGCTATTCAAGCAAGGAGCTGATGAGGTGCGTGCATCAATATGGTCAGATGAACGCATGCCCGACGACTAGATTTTATGTTTGCTCTACCCAATCCACAAGAGAAGCGAACCCGCCATTTGCGACCATCTACCGCGGGTTCAGCCTTTTAAGCATAGGTTACAAGGTCTTTTCGAGTGTATTGTAAGTGATTGGACCTTATCAGTATGACTTTAGGCCTGGAAAATCCACCATAGATCACGTATTCACAATAAGCTAAATCTTGGAAAGGCCCGCGATTATAAAATCGAAACACACAATCTAAGTGTCGGATACAAAGCCGCTTTCGACAGCACGAAGAGAAGTTGTCTTTATGCCGCGATGTCTGAATTTGGTATACCCGCGAATCTAAACGGCTGTGTAAAATTACATTGAGCAATACCAACAGCTCCGTCAGAATTGGGAAGGATCTCCGTGTCGTTTCAGAAAAGCTGATTCCCTTTCGTGTGATTCCTTTAATCTGATGTTGGTGAAGACAATAAGGGCCACAGAACTGAACCGCTCAGGCGCAATACTTTACAACAGCGTACAATTTCTGGCGTATACCGACGGAATCGATATTATCGGTAAAAACAAGAGCTACGTCTATTCTGCGTTCTCGGGATTAGCGAATGGGTCTGGTGGTAAACGGTCATCACAGAAACAGTCAGAGCATACGCGTCTTGGCACACAGGTCACTGTTAACGGTTACAAGTTTGAAAAGTAGACGACGTTTATTTGGGAACCAGCATTGACAGCAATAATAATGCTGGTGTATGGCGCGCAGTCATGAACATTAAAAACATCTGATGAAGCGGCTCTTAGAATTTTCGAGAGAAAAATTCTGCGAAATTACGCGTTTGTGAGTGCGAATACCGCAGACGATTTTATGATGAGCTGTATGAGCTTTACAACGTTATAGACATAGTGCAGCGGCATTCCTATTGCGTATAGTGAATTAACGAAGGAAAACTATGAAATTACGAGAAAAGTTTTTTATGTTAAGAGCATCAGTGGAAAGTTACATATGTGTGTCGCTTTTTTACCAGGACTCCAATTTGGAAAATTAGTCACAATGGATAAAAAGAGTCGCCTCTAAGAGCTTTTGGTACCAATTGAGAGTATTCTCATAAAATTTTCTTTAAGACGATCGCAAAACAAAAGATTTTTTGTTGTGTTTGCGACATATATTTCCTGAGTTGAGCGAAAGCGAATTGGAAGAAGGAAGGAAGGGAAGAATGATCTATTAAAAAAAATTTATATCATTGCAAAGGTGTTCTCAATAATCCTTATATAAGACGGCTGATAAAGATCGGCGAATTTGACAGAGCTTTAAATAAAGATGGGAGAAAAGCATGGAATGTAATCAAAGCAAAATTTCCTCGAAAGAAGTCGATCCGAAAACTTTCGTTTTAAAGTTACAGTTGTTTAAGTAATTGGGTATGAAAATTTTTTTCTAGAAAATATGTATATGAATATGAGTTCTATGTGTACATTACTTGGAAATATTTAGTAAACAGAATCAGATGAACATGACGAAAGGTCCCATCAAACACTAATGCCTACGGATAAACGATACAAGGGGAAAGAATTGGACGCCTTGAGCGCAGATGCCTGTTGGATTATTTTTGTGAAATATTCTTCTGAAGGCAACACTGGGAATGATTCTGAAATATTAGAGAATTCAGAATCAGGACCGGAGTCTGAAACCAAGTGCGAATCAAACTGGAATGAAATAGAGAAATTTTAACAGCGACCTGAATAGAAATGTTCACTGTTGGAAAACAATTCGTAGTATTTCCTCGAAAACAATGTACATATCAACGAAATTTTTAATTAAAATTTTAAAACTGGGAATAAAACTTCTATTTATAATAAATTTATTTGAAAATATCTCTCTTACTCGAGCTTAACTGGAAAAACGCCTTTGGGAATGAGTTTAGGATTCATATAGAACCACTATTAAATTTCCCAGGAAGAAAATTTTTGTTGCACAGTGTAACTTCCTCCTGCCAAAAGATCTAACGCCTCGTGAGCAAATGTACCAGAAGCAGAAACGTTAGACCAAAATTTTCAGAACATCTAGCTGAGTCAATTTAGTCGAGCCAGACAGTATGTTTGTGCGTTTAGTCCAAAAGTTTACGAGATATTCGACTGAAATGTAGTAAGCGGGTATATTTTTATAATGTGTTAATCATTTATTGGAACCGGAAAAAGCAGATATATGGGGCATTCCAACGTCACGGATGGATATTTTTAACTAATTTTTAATTTCTTTTTAACCGTTAATGTGCCAAATTTCATAATGTTATCACTTTAAGTCAGATATCAGATTATTACGAAACTAATAAAGTATAAAACTTAATTATATACATAATTAAAACAATGGGAAGCTTATGTATTTACAAGTTACATAGGTTAATAAAAAATACAAATTTTGCTGTAACGACATCCATTTTGTTAGAAGTTAACAACTTCTCACCATAAATATATTTTGATATTAAGTCAGCACCGTTTTAAAGCACATGAGTGTTAGTTTTTTTGGATGATTATTAT